CAGCTCAAACAAACAATAAAGAGTTTTTTAAAAAAAAAACATGTCAGGCTCTTACCTTATCTTAGTTTAGAGTTCTGGCAGCTGGAAAATACTTACTGAGGGAAAATGTAACCCTATCTTGACTTCATGATTAAAAAATCTATAACTTATGAAAAAGATCAATATGATTTGCATAATGCATGAACAGGTGTATGATTTTATTACAGTGCAACACAGCCTGATATTTTGGACAAGGTAAGTCAAATTCCTCTTACACTGTGCTCAAAGCTGCTGTGCAGTTGTGGTGCGGGGAGCTGCAAAAAGTCACTCATATTGAATAAGGGTGGCCAAGCTGCTGCTCTGGCTGCAGAAATGACAGTGCAGAGAAAAGAGCTTATTCTCTTTCCAGGACTTGTCAGGAAAAACACCCATGCTCATAACTATCAATTTTTTTTCATCCTCCAATAGCTCTGTTTTCTTGTGTTTTGTTTTGCCATTTCACTCTCTAAGTTAGTGCAGGTTGGTGGGGTGATTTTATACTGAAATTAAAGGAGACTTTTCTCTATCTGGAGCATGGTTTTTTTCCTGCTTGGCTTGTGAAAATCAGGAGCTTGATTCAGAGATCACTGCAGCATCAACTTCCTTCTTGCAGAATAACTTTTTCTATCTGCACAGTCTTGGAAGCCGAACATTCCTGCACCAGGCCTGATATGAGTTTACACATTGACTAAATAATTTCACCCCTTTGCATCACATTTATATTCAATCACAGTTCACTATTCAGCACACAAAAGGAGTGATCCAGTTTATATATATATATATATATATATATATATATATATATATATATATATATATATATATATATATATATATATATATATATATATATATATATATATTATAATTAATGAAATACTTTTAAAATATTCAAATGTTAAATACTTAAAGGGACATAGCCTCATAGGACTTTTCAAACTGTATGACAGTAGCTCACTCTGGTCTCCTAAACTTTTTTCTGAAAGAGTTCTGTGCCATTTTTGCATTATCATTTGTTTTTGCTGAGTTTATCAGTAAATAAAGTCATTTCACGTGTATGTATTATAAAAACAACCTGAACGGAGGCACAGTATTGCACATTTGCATGATAGGCACACAAGGAAGTAAGGGGACTAAGCAAGTTAGGTGTAAAAGAGAAATAAGGTCTAGTTTGTAAAAACACAAAAAATATTTGATTCCAGGAGGGATAAGACTTGAATAGCCTGAAGCAGGAGCTAAAGTTCTGGGGGTATTTAGTCTACAGACTCAAGTACAGATAACAATATGCATTGATTGTTTGATTGAATTAAACAGAGGAAGGGAGTTATTTTCTGACACAGCTGCTAGAATCCAGAAGTTTGTTCAAGCTCAGACTGGGAAGTAGCATTTTATGTTTTTAATTTGTGTTTATTCCTCTATTCCCATGAAAAGGTTACTATTCTTTTTTTGTATTTATTTTGTTGAAATATTTTTTTACCTGTTTGTGTTTGGAAGCAAATGGAACTTTTTCCTTCATGTTCTACTAGGAGACTGAGGAGAATTCACTAGAACTTGGAGTTGCTGTAGATCAGGTTAGGCTTAGACAGAGGTGTAGTAACTAGTTTGATTTACTTAGTCATATTTACTTGAGTATCTTTATAAAATGTACTTTAAGGAGTAGTTTTAAAGCATAGTACTTTTAACTTGTGTACAAATATGAATTTCACCACTCAAGTTAAATTTCTGGCTACTACATTCATTGTGAATAACTTCACTTTGTACATTTGAGAGACACACTGTCTTATTTGTTGTACTGAAGACTTATTGGTTAAAATTTATTTTTGCTCAAATGAGTCTGCCGTGTCATATGGAGACTGATTGAAAATATGGTAAACAGTATACTTGAATTTCACCTATTCTTATATACAGTAAATATTGATTTTGTACTTTATATAGCTCAAAAATATGAAATCAGTTTTTATGACCATGAGTAGTTACTTAGTACTTAAGGCTTTTACTAAATACCTTTTTATTCTTACTTGAGTAATTTCTTTAAAGGATACTTTTTACTTGGATATAAATATGATGAAGTAGTGCTACTCTTTCTTAATTACATTTTTTGGGTACCCTACCCACCTCTGGACTTAGACCACACAAGCTCTTGCTTTACCGCTGTAGTAGATACTGACTTATCTCTAACAGTAAATATGGACGGACACTTGCTGTCACTATCAGGAAATGGCTTTATTAGCAGGCAGGAAGACAGGCAGGAACTGGTGCATAAGCTCAATCACAACATTGACATTCCTGCTTTACATCACATTTATGTATTCCTTTGTGTAACAGACAACAACTCAAATCTTGTAACAGTGAATGGTTGGCACTATATGCACTACAATTACTAGGTATTGCAGGATGGTTGGTATTTGTTCAGTAGTTCTACAGTAATGCCCACAGATTGTGCATATATCTGTTTATGTCTGCTTATCACACCTGGTACAGGAATTCTACAGTATGTAGGTTCAAAAATGACTGCAAACACTATCAGGACTAAAGCTTGATATTTATTACTTTAATAATTATGAACAAATGGTTTCTGGTCTATTTTTTGAAAGTAGGCAAATATACAGTACAATAACATGACTATGCCCCTGTAATTATTTTTTAAACACGTATGAAATGTTATGCGAAAAATCTAAGAGATTTTCGGAAAAATATGAAAATCTTTATTTTGTAAATCATTTTAACTAATAATCTTACAACTGTAAGTCAAAAATGGTCTAGTAAGGGTCAGAGAGTTAATCTCTGCTACTAAGTCATGTAAAGAGGCTATATTAAACATTAGATTTCTGTCAGGGAAATCATTTTTAATCACTAACTTCATTACTGATACTATACTTGGTTGGATTTATTTTTCTTTTCTGGTAAGATGCCTAGTTTTATAGAGTCAGTATCTTCAAACTACAGTTTTCTTTGTTGTTAGCAGACACCTCAAGAAAAAGAGAAGTGGGTAATTTTTTTAATGATTTACTTCAGTGGAAAAAAATGTATCTGGGCAAATTTCACACTTTTGACTTGTTGGCTCTCCTGTTAAACAGCTCTGTTTAAGCCATGTTCTTCAAAATTTGCAGGCCTCACAGGTACAAAACAAATGTTTTCAATTATTTTCATTACTTTGTATCTGTGATTTGTGTTGAAGAAAAAGTCTGGTCAGAAAGGAATAATCAATGGATCATTATTTATACTTAAAACTAATTTGTTTGCGGTGATTTAATGAATTTAGCGTTAATCGGTAAAAAAATAATAACAATAATTTTCGTTGTGATCACTGAGTCCAGGACCACCCATTGTTGCCCAAATATAGTAACATGTCATTCTTCCCGCTTTACAAGCAAAATCAATGGGAACTACTAAACACATCTGCAATCAACAACTATTATAAAAGATTTCGAGAGGACTTCACCATTGAAATTGGCGGAGCTATAGTTAAACTGACAATGGCAGTTGGATGTTGTAATACATCAGGTAAAAGTGAAAACAAATTTAGTTATTTCACATTTCTGATTCATGATCCTCCATGGGTTTGTCATCGGATTGCCAAATTGAAGAGGGAGGATTTGCCATCGAACTTCTCGTCAGAGAATAAACACATAATATGTAGCCAACATTTCGAAGAAAAATGTTTTTAAGATGACTTTGATAATAGCGCGTTGTAACAAACACAAGATACAGCTTTGGGACTTAATCAACAGCCGATGCCGCACTGTGACGTCACAAAATGGTCGGTGGCAGTAGTGTTCTTTGACAAACATGGATGTTTTCAGTAAAGTACATAAAATGAAAATAACTATTAATGAAAAAAACGTATCATTTATTGAAGAGTGTGTAAAAATTTAATATTTAAAGTACTTTCTGAAGTTTGAATTCTGACTTTTCCTTTAATTGTGACAACCTAATCATTTTGGAAGACCTGTATATTTAAAGACAACCTTCAAAACAAAGGGGCAAAAGAACTATGTGATAATCAGAAATGTAGATGTAACCCAAAATTTTAGGTAGCCAACGCACAAACAGGGTCATATTTTGGACCTAATCATTACTAAGTGCTTAAACATGCACTTAATAATAATTAAACAACTAAGCATGCTTGTAGTGAGAGTGGAGAGGAAAAACTCCCTTTTACAGGAAGAAACCTCCAGCAGAAATGGGCTCAGTGTGAGCGGCCATCTGCTGAGGCCGACTGGGGTTCAAGGAGACAGAAGCAAGATACAAAAAGCATCTGTAAAAGGCGGCCCTGTCCAGGAAACACACAGCCAAGCAGACGAGCTCCGAGCCAGCTCCCATGTCAGAGGACGAAGAGAGCACATCCATCAAGTCACAGTCAGGGAAAAAGGACTACACTGGAAAACAGGCCGATCCCCAACATCTATAAACAAAGGTGTTGATGGCAGCAGCACAGCTGATATTTCTCTCCAGGATAGTGTCACAGCCAAACAGGAACAGACGGGGCAAAGCTACTATGAGAAAAAGCAGAGGGGGCGTAAAATTAGAGATTGAACTAACAGATTCTGCAGAGTGGGAGAATAGAGATAAAATGAAGCAGAATGATGAAATTATCACTTCTTTTATTTTACATCTTTATATTTTTTCTTTCTTTGTTAACACCACAATGATTGAGGTTAAAAGTGGCTTCATGACACTTTTAATTTGGTTTATTAAGATTGGATTCAAAGCTGGCTTTGTTCTTTTGTTCTATTTACTTAGATCTATATAACTGAATTGAAATACTTTATTGTCCTAGAAAGGTGTTTGATTTGTTATAGATCGGTATAAAAATGGTCCCAATTTTTTTCTCACATATTTGTACAGCATCAAAGGGGGAACTGACACATATTTCTTTTCACTTAAATCTCTGGTTATAGCTATTTTGATTAAAACATTTGTCTTTGATTTTCTTCTATTCTGTCTTCATGATTTCGACTTGTTTCCTCTGTTCTTGTCAGATGGTCTGGCTACTTTCCGCAGCTTTCTTCAGTCTGAGTTCAGTGATGAGAACATTGAGTTCTGGGTGGCCTGTGAGGACTTCAAGAAGACAAAGAATCCAGTGAAGATGGCTTCCAAGGCCAAGCAGATCTATGAGGACTTCATCCAATCAGAGGGGCCCAGAGAGGTCAGGGATTCAACATTCAAATGTCCTTGTTACTAATAGGACCGGTTATTTATAGCATTAATGTGAGACGTATTATCCAAATGGCTAATGCTTCCTCTAACTGCAAATTTTATCGATTCTACTTGACAGGTCAACATTGACCACTTCACCAAGGACGTGACCCTGAGGAACCTGGTGGCTCTCTCACCTTCCACCTTTGATCTGGCCCAAAAGAGGATTTATGCTCTGATGGAGAAAGACTCCTTCGGTCGTTTCCTCCGTTCTGAGCAGTACCAGGAGCTTCTGGTCAAATAAGCCAATGCAGCAGTTGAAGGAGATGGGGTTGTTTGAAACAGTAGTTGATATGTGACAATAAAATAACAGTCTATAATTTGGTCAGAAAACATAGATAATAACAGAAACCTGCATAAGACAGTTTGATGAGTTTTGCATCTTCCAAAATTAAGTTTTGAAATGTGTTTGTAAGTTTACATAAAATTACAAACTGCTTCTTGAAATAGCCCTATCTCCTGACATTACACAGATGTTCCTGAATTTCTATCTGAATGAGAACTGCTGAAAACATTGTATTCATCTTTTCCTGTTAAAATTCCAATTCATACATCTCCTTGAAAATGTAGAAATTTGAACAATGTGATAGTCAGCTCCTTCAGCCTTGAGTTAATGCTTTTAGACAGACCTTCTAAATTAATTCTCTAAAAAGGAAATAATTTAAAACAAAACTGTAGCTCAAGGTGCTAACAATCAAAAGGTGATATGAATAGGCAAAACATGAAGGACTGTTTTGCACTAAAGGCTAATTTCATTTAATTAAGTCTCCACAATGACAATCTTTACATTTTTATCTTATAAAAATAATTTTACAGATTGAATAACTTACTTTGCTTTAAGTATTTTCTCTCAATCAATATATATTGTTATGATTTTTGGACTAGTATGCCAAATAGATCTCTAGCAATTGATATTGCAATGAAGGTAATGTTTGCAGTGTAGATGGGCTTAATAGGTGCCACTACCTACACAATGAGGGCAGTTAAACAATTGATCATGTTTCAGTATAAATGTGACTTTTAAAGGTGTTTCCACCAGAAATAAATTTATTATCCCATAGGAATGTAGTTTCTCAGATTGTTCGATATCCAAAGTAAGGATTTTTGTTTGTAAAGATTTATCAGCATTACATCAACAAATCGTAATACAATGGCCTAAACTCACTGGGACCCAAACACAGCATTAACTAAGATTCAACATTATAAATTAACAGCATTTAATAAAAAGAGACATATTAAAGCATTACCACAACTATTAATATTTTCAGGTTCATCGTTTTGAATCACTGCATCCTTTAAAACAATGATTACCAATTTAATTTTCATGAGAAAAAAGACATTAAATGGTTTCAGAGTTAAATGTAAGACTGAATGTATCATTTGTGGTTTTAAAAAGATGCTCCATTAAATGTGCAGTACATTTCATGCCTGGAAGAGAGATGACTCATTGTTTAAGAAAGAGACTCTTGAGGGAAGCTGTTACAAAGTCAAGGGCAGAAAGATTTTAAACTGTAGGACATTTTAAGAATTTACTATTTCATTTAAGTTGTATTAGTGCATAAGTAGTGATTTCCAAATAACTTATCCTGTTTTTTTTTTTCTCATGACTATTTCACATCCACATTAATAGAACATTTGGATACTTACCAAACCCACCTTTTGGTTGTAATTCCTCCTCAGGGAGCAATTGTTGAGAATAGTTCAGTTAAGCTGGCTCAGTGGTATGGCTCTTTAGTTGCCACTAAAATGCAAGTTGCTAAGATGGGAAAACCAAGTAAGAAGGAAGCTCTGCTTTAAAAAGATGGATAAACAGAGCTATGGGTTTATACAAAGAAAGCTCATTTTTATTTTCCCATGATAACATACCAAAGTTGTAATTTAAGTCTGCATGCTTGGTCCCCAAATGGATTCTGTTAACAAAAACAGGGGAGAATATATTTAAAAGGTTTGCAATAGCTAACTATGTCCTGATGTGCAGACAGTTATAGCTTTTAGCTCTTATTTACAAACCAATTGCTAGGTAACTTTATGGATCATATGAAAATTATTTGAAGAAATACAACAAAAAATACAAAACTTACATTTTTCACATTTCCACAATTATCTAGTCATAATGTATTTACAATCACAAGTTGTCTAACAAATTTAGCTAAGCTACAAGAAAACATGAAGGTACACTTGTTAAGACGGGCAAGTAATGACGTGGTTGCTGTCAGGGTGCAATGTTAAAGTGTCAGAAGATTTGCATTTAATCAAATATAGTCAAATGTAGCAGTCATTAGATGTGATTATATATACTCTTTTGTCTTTACACATATATAAAATAATCAACCAATACAAATAAAAATCTATAATTCAGCATTCTAAACCCTTATTACTCTTACACATTTCATTTATGGTATTTTCAACATGTCTTTCTCATACATTTGATTTTTCAGTTATTTCATATAAACTGCACTGGGTGCAAAGTACTCTAATGCTCCATTTGTTTTACCTTGGATAGCGTTGATAGGGCCTATAGTGGCACAGATTGACCAGTCTGGAGTCACTACCCTTGGTCTACAAGTGGAAAAGTCATTCTAAAATAAAATGTAAACGTAATAAGGGCTTAAACAGTGCTGAACATCTGTTTTTGCATGTAGCTTTGCATGTATGTTTTGTAGTGGATCACATAAAATATATATATGCATACAAATTTTGAAGATGTATTTATTTATATGTGTAAATATCTATTAATTTATTCTAAATACAACAACTGAGCCAATGGCTCTTTTAATGGGAAGCTGCCATGGCTCTTTTTTGAAACAAAACCATCTGACTTTCTCTGGTCACTTTTTTTTCTTAATTCCTTGAGCGATCAAAGGCTCAAGTTCTGTCTTGTGATGTTTAATGTTTTTATTGAAGAGAAATATCACTTCTAACTCCTAAATAATATGTTTAAGACTAATTTCATCATGTTTTTGAGACAAAACACACTTAACATTTAAGAATAACATAACTCTTCATTTGCAAACAAGCAAATCAGACATCAAAGGTACAGTAGATTACAAAAATGTTCTCACCACTTTGGCTTTCAACAAACTTTTAAAACTACAAGCTGTAATAAGATTGCACTATAGGTGAAATGTGTTTCTCCATATACAGTAGCATAGTTTATGCAAAGATTACGTCGATTGTTTTAGGGATGCTTTCTATATCTTGACTTAGAAGCTTACAAAATAATTCTAGAGTGAATTCATTCTTCAAGGCGTCACTGTTTGATTAATATATGGTAATATATGCCTAATCAGTATTAAAATTACTCAAATTTTTTGCACACTGATAAAAACAGCTATGTGAACGTGGTGTTGCTCCATGAATTGTCTTATGTCTTTATTCTTTGACTGTGCAATGTCAGCTGGAGCTGACAGATTATTACTGATTGTCTGGCAGTATTTATGTGAGTTTGTGGACAGAAAAAAAAAAGAAAACATTAGTTTTATTATTTTCTTTATGTGTAATTCTCACTCTATCTTTTGGAGTGAAACATTTATGAATATTAATGATAATAATAATAATAATAATAATAATAATAATAATAATAATAATAATAATAATAATAATAATAATAATAATAATAATAATAATAACAAAAACAACAACAATTATTATTATTATTATTATTATTATTACCCACTACTCTCAAAAACATAAAAACTTACATTTGAAATGACGAAAAGTTTGGTCATAGCTAGATGATACGGAGATCAACAAACTAAATGAACTGAGAAAAATAAATATTCTATTTAACCATTTTCCTTAATCTTTTTAACTCTATTTTTCTGAATATTGTAGTACACCTCTGAAAGTAGAAACACCAGTCCACTGTTAGAGATAGAGATAAAACCTTATACACTTTTTAAAGCAGAAATAAGCCTTTTTTCTGCTAGGTATATGACATCAAGCACTATCAGTAGAAAAAAAAAAACATTAGATTTTATTCCATTTTCTATCAGCCTCAACAACATGACCTAAAATTAATTTTGGTTATACTAATTACGGTACATGATGAGGTTTGGTTTTCTGTTGTGTTTTTTTGTCTGTTAGCAGGATTATTTCAAAATGTATGAACAAAGTTTAATCACATTTTTACCAGAGGTACACCTCATGCCAAGAAACAATCCATAACCTTTTTTGGTAATTCGGATAAAGGACTTTAAAAAAAAAAAAGATTCTTTAACAGTATTTGGCAGAACAAGCAGTTCACCCCTAAACCAGGGGTTGGCAGCATTGACAATTGACAGCATTAAAAAGTTCGGAAGAATTATGCTGAAGACAAAAAATTAAACAAAAAATTAAGAAAGGGGAACCATACCCCACTCAAAGTCTTGATCTGCCGATCAAAATAGAAAGCAGAGTGCTGAGTGGATGAAGGTGAGAGCAGAACAAACACCAGAGGCTGCTGACATACGCTGTGCCTTAATTATGAAAGGATTTTAGGGATATTTTTACAAGAGGTGTGCCTCATGTCAGCCCTGCCCCACAGCGACCCTAATGGATAAGCCAATGAAGATGGATGGAAAAATGCCTGGATAGTTTAAGGGGAATTTTTTTGGGCCACTGGGTGCAGTGCTGCCATTTTGCTCCTATGGTACGCTATTAAGTCCTGAATGGTAGTTGTTCACATGCATATATACAGTACATATAGCTCATGCGGCTATGTAAACAAAAGACAGGAGAACAACACCATTTGAGGAATCGAGGTGCCTCAGGAAGGAAGGAAGGAAGGAAGGAAGGAAGGAAGGAAGGAAGGAAGGAAGGAAGGAAGGAAGGAAGGAAGGAAGGAAGGAAGGAAGGAAGGAAGGAAGGAAGGAAGGAAGGAAGGAAATATTATGTCTAAACGATGCTCTTAACAGAACAGAAATAAAAGGCTGCATTAAGCAGATTTAGCATTGAATGACAAAACAACAACATCCTCTTCTTTAAAGTTATTCTACATATATTATTAAACCAAAATTAAACATGTAGAGTTCACATCTAAAAAATCAGAAATGAGTGAGGAGCAGAGCGGAAACAGATGCAACTGAGGGGCCAGCTGCCAACACAAACACTGTCACAAGTTTCCAAGGAAGCATCCGTTACCACAACAGCTCTTGGACCTAATGGAAAAGGTCACGTGCTTTTTGTCCCCAAAGGAGTTCAGTGACTTTCTAACAGATACTTTGTTTAGCTGCAACATATACAGTACATTGACAGATTTCCAGGAACAATGTAGGTTATAAAATTGTCAACTGGGGGATCCTTTAGCCTTTAAATTACATCCTGTAGAAAGCTTGCACATAAAAAAGAAAAAAAATATTGTATATATGAAAATATACCCACTGTTCTACCTCAAACCTGGGAATCATAAAATATTAAACTTTCAGGGCATTAAAAATCAAAGTATCACTTGTGTCACTTTCAGTCGTTCACTCATTCATAACTTTTATTTTAAAAGGGATGTCTTTTTGAGACATGTGGTACGTTTGCATTTGGAAGAAAGACTTATTTAATCAGTCATAGAATGTGGAATAACTATGGTTAAAATATATTTCATTAAAATTATATAGAATGGAATACTTCAAACTTGTATTTAACAGGACAGATCAAATCATGAAGAGCAAGATGGGACCTTGTCAGGTGATGCAAACATTGTAAAATCAAAAGGAACGCATCCAACAGCGATTAATGTTTTACATTCCCATGGACTGAGATGGTGCTAGGGAAAAAAAGGCCTCTCCTTTATTTTTAGCTGTTCATATTGACAGGTCAAACATAACCTGGATATTTTTCTGTTTGTTTGCTTGTTAGTTTTTTACTGTTAAATGAGACTAAGATTTGAGGTTCTTAAGTACGTAGTTGATGTTAATGTCATATATGAATCAGATGTTCAAGTCATTGTACTCCAAATCACTTTACATTACATTCAGTCATTTACAGAGTCACACAATTATTCACACATTAATGGCAATCTGCATTGTACCAACAGCTGCCCTGGTGCAGAATGACAGAAGGTTAAGGCAGTAAAGTGTCTTGCACAAGGACACACCACCTTTGAACCCTCTGGTTGCAAAACAAACTACTGCATCCTATGCTGCTGTCACCCTTAATAAAGTTGGGACTTTTAGGGCTATGACATTAAATGGACAATGAAGTATGCTAGTGATACCATCATACTATGAGTTTATTTTACTACAAGTGGAAGGGGAGACCTGAACAATATTACATCTAATTACACACTGCTCTGTTGCATTTCTGTAAAAGCTTTCATATCATTTCGAATTCACACGTATCTTAATATTGAGACTATAAATGAAGACCATGTAAATATTTAAGACGGATATCATGGAAAGAAAAAAATTGTCTGTTTACCCTGACTTTTGCATTTGTCCACTTCACATGGTTTTATATAAATAACCCCTATCTTCTCTTCTTACTTTTTTAAGAACACATAATCTAATGTGCCACAGTTAATGGAAAAAACAGCATCTATTAAAGCTCTATTAAGGTCATTGCCTCTTTGTTCCTACCTTCATATACAATTATTAAAGAGGATAAAGCAACAGAGGATTCCAGTATACAGTACAGAGTTTAACTGAGGACCTTTAAAGCTGTTTGTGTGCACATCTGTGTGCACTGCAAAGAAAAATTTAATTTTATCAAATCAGAAAAATATAATTAATGACAATATTTCTTTCATAAAGTTTTTTTTCTGTTGTTTCTGACATAAAAATACATAAACGTTTTTCATTTGCAAATTTGTTGTAATATATCGTAAAAACACCATGTCAAACTTATAATAAATCAATTTAAACAAATCTTTTCATCAATACTGTCACTCTGCTTGGATTAGTTTTTCATCTTAGCCAGAGAAATGAAGCTGGTACATCTGGGTTATGATGATGACTGCCTCTTAATTAAATCCAATTCTTAAATCAGAAATGCAATCTGTTTTAATTATTTTTCATCCATCTGATTTAATGAGGAGAGGTGGCTTCCCTAATTCGAAAGCACTTATCGAACGAAAAATGACTATGGATGTTTTTTCTTTATGTGACTGGTTTGAAAATCAATAGTTACTGCTGGCAGTCAGGCTCAACCATAAACATGCCTACACCAATATGATAAGGTAAGGTAAGGGTGCTATCCAAAAAGCCCCTTCTACCAGTTTAATGTCTAAGCTGAGAAAAATAATGCAGTTTTATATTAAGGTAAGGGATTTATCACTGTCCCTAAGAAAACTACAACTTTCTATAATGATGTTTTTGTGTTCTTTTTCACTCCAGAAAGTGCACTCATGGCAGTTTTGTGGTTTATATTCTTTAAATGCTGTCACTAGGAGACAGCACTAGGAGATAAGAGCATAAATAATCAGATTTTGTATTTCCCCTATATTTCTAAATGGTTGAATGATTGTGCTGAATGTTCCTGGCAGACTGCTTAGGTGACTGATTAGAAAAAAAAACATACTGCTGTTATTCTTGTTGCTTAGATTCTTCTACCACTTTTCCTCCCATTCAACTTTCCATTAAGCCTTAATTCAGCACTCAGGAAATGACAAGCTTCTTTATTGATGATCTTCATGTCTTGTCCATTTTTTTGGAGGGATTGATTGAAAGTTGGCAGAACACCTATAATCACTATTACATAATTTCAATACAGGCACAGCTGGAGTTT